TGTTCATTGTACTATAATTTTTGAAATGCAATAAAGATTTTTATTATTATTATTATTACTTGATCCTCAGCATGCCCAGGAGGATCTTCGCATGTATTCGAGGCAGGGGAGGAGTTATTTTATATTGAATTCACACCTTTTAATAATAAATTGTTGTTTAAGTTTAATTAAACAGTCTTTTTCTTTCTATGAAATTTCTATCACTATTACATTATGATTAATGGCTCAATTTTTTAAAATAAATAATAAAAAATAGTTTTATATTTTAATTTCAAACAGGGTATTCCTATTTAAAGAAAGCATACAACATAGATTTTTTCTTGATAAAGTTAAATTTAAAGAATTATAGGAGCTTATGCTATTGATCGCAAACTTTTTTTGATGTGTGTAAGTACAATTAAGAAAGTGAATTAAGTATAGTAAAGTTGTAATTACTTTACTATACTTAATTCACTCGAATACTTAAATAATAAAAATTGCCAACGAAAATAGGTAGAGAAAACTAACCTGAAAATCGAATACGCTATCAAATGAAGATTTTTTTTTAAATAATTGTAATTGGTTTCAAAAGTAATACCAGTCCTTTTGATATATAAACCTGTTTGCGTCATGGCCCAATTCAATAAAAAATAAGAATATACCTAATAGTAGGTACATAGGTACACTTTTATATTTTCGCGTTGAGTTGTACTAACTTGTTAAAAAAAGAATAAACGCAAATAAATAAAAATACGATGTTCAATCGCAATATTAAAGTATATTGTGTATGTTATGCTCTTCTCTAGTAGGCGCGTTCCGAGTGTGAGTATTCAGTGTCCTATTCCGATGACTGACAAATGCAAATTCTTGGGTTTTACGTTGGATCCTGCTTTGAATTGGAAACATCACGTAGACTCGCTATGTGACAAGCTGAGTGGTGCGGTGTTTGCTCTGCGTAAACTAAAACCGTCGGTGTCTTGTAATGCGTTGAGGCAGGCGTACGTTGCACACTTCCACTCAATTATGAATTATGGTTTTATTCTATGGGGCAATTCGACAGACGCTGACAGGATAATACGTATACAAAAGCGAGCGTTACGAACCATGGTCGGCATAACTCAGAGGCAGTACTGCAAGGCGCTGTATGATGTACCCTTAACAAGTAATATGTTTTTGAGGTCATTGACACACACAGAGGACACACAGAGGTGATGGGTGGGTGCCTCGGTCGCGAAGGACAACTCCGATCAGTAGCGCGTCGCATTGCACTACATAAGAAAAACCCGCGAGTTATAGGACCTACCTACTATGAGCACCTACCTGCCGAACTAAAAAACGAATGTTGTGAAGAAACGTTCAGGTGCAGACTGAAGAATCGTTTATTGGAAAAGTCTCTTTACTCAGTAACAGTGTACACTCAAAGTACTTAATAAATAATTAAATTATTATATTTATTAATGAATTTGAAATTTACCGTATTATTATACTTTAATATACATTTATTAGTTATTAAGAATCCATATTGACATTTATTGTTTATTGTTTATTGTATTTATTACATTTAAAAGTATTAAAAAACAAAACATTCCAGTATAACATAAACTTAACTAAGTTTTTCTGTATACCGCTCATTCGTCGTACAAAAATATTTCTATGTGTAGTGTGCGCGTTCGTACTCCTTCGTGTTGACATTTCGTGGTGTGCGTGAGTTCGGTAATATAGGGTGTCAATAAACTTAAAATTTTGTACATCCTACTGTTGAACACGTATATAATATACTAATTCTAATATAATATAATATAATACAATACAATATAAAATAATATGTAATAAAAACTTTTTCGTAAGTATTATATGGAGTTAGTATGCATAATATTGTTAATTAAAGTTGAATAGTATAATATTTATTACATATTAATATAGTTACTTTTAATATACATTATCATTATTATATATATTATTACGTATTTTTTTCTAAAAAGTATTTTGTAAATCTAGGTTTGATATTTTTATAATTTAATGATACGTTTATTTCTTCAGGAATTTCGTTGATTAAACAAGGTATTATATGTTTTAAACTATTTTTACCATAATTATTTCGATAAGGTGGTATCTTCAATTTATTATTATAGACATTTCGCGTCTTTATTTCACCACTGTAGGTAGTTTGTAAACTTTTATCAAAAAAGTGTTCAACTAGTAGCATGTATTTTAATTTTTCATGTATAGGGAGTAATTTACAGTGATGGAACAGATCGCGGTAATCGTCCTTGTATTTCAATTTAATTTTAGCGGGTACTATAGTTTTTAATATTCTTAATTGCATATCGTAAATTTTATCGAGGTGACTTTTACAAGTTCGGCCGTAGCTGGTAAGCCCATATCCGATGATCGATTCCCCGAGTGATATGTACAGGTTGCGCAAAGTAGGGTAAGGTACTTTATTTTTTATTATTGTAAATTTCGCAAGAATAGATTTTAATTTATTACAAACCGTATCTATATGTTCTTTCCATTTCATGCGATTATCTATTACAAGTCCTAGATAAATTTGACTATCCACTAGTGCTATGCAAGGGCATGTGCATGATCGTGGAGTTTGGATTTGGATTTTCATTTAATAGTTTCATTAATTATGTTGATTTGTATATGTACACTCATTGTGTACTTATGACTTACTATCATATAATTATTTCTTCATTATTTTGTAAGCTGACGCTCACTTTTTATAAGGTAAATACAGTCAGAGACAAGAGAAAAAAGTTTTGAAATCAAATATTCGTTTATTGAGCACTTGTAAAATTTTGTCAGACTTGTTGAAAGATTATATTGTCTTTAATTTAACACTTTTCCTAATCTACGGCTCGCATTCTATATATAATACTTAGATTTTGTTTATAATGTCTGGCAATAAAATATTAAGTATTTTATACATTGCTTAAAAAAGCCCGGTATTGTATAGAATGACGAGGTATTCTATGCAATCACTTAATTATACAACACATACATTGCCGTTAACATATATACCTACTTTGATTGTAAATAGGAGCACTAAACCGTGATGACAGAGAAGCACCAAAAGTAATTTCATTATTATTACAATATGGCTTATTCAGACGCTTTACAAATCAATACTTCCATTCAGAAGAATCACTTCACACAAACCTTTCACAGATATGCCATTTTTGGAAATTGTAAAGGTTTCACTTGAACAATCTTTTGTTTCGACTTCAGACGCCCAAGACGTCAATCAAGTTGTATCGGCACAGCTTCATTTCTTTCAAGTTTTTAACTATTGAAAAGTCCTTCAGAAAATTTGTGTTATTTCAAGTTTTTAAATAACTTCAGTCTGAAAGCCTAAGTAAAACGGTACCCGCGATGCTTACATCGAGGCTATTAATTTATATTCTTGGTACATACCAAACACCTGAGTGACGTCTGACGATCTCCGTTTATTGTTTTCTTTATATTTGATAATGTGAATAATTCGTGGAATTCGTCTCCCTTCTTTTTTATTTTTTTTGTTTAATTACTGTTTGTAAGTTAATAATTTGTTGTCCATTTCAAGCCACGTAAGAAATGGTCTTATAAAACACTATGCAGTCTTTGTAGTGAATACGGGCATGTATTAAGAGATTGACGGGATTGGAGCAGGCGGAGGGCCAAACTCTCTGCCTACCCCTGTGGGAGACGGGCGTGATGATATATGTATATATAGTAAATATTTTTCAAAATAAATAAAACAGTTACTGCGCTTTAGTGCTGGAGCTTAATGCCTTGAAATGTCGAATTTCATTTAAGCAAATACGGTAAGTTTTTGTACCACTCAGACGCAAGTAGAATTGAGAATATTTTGATAACTTTAATCAAAGATTTTATAAACTTTGACTTTAATTAACTGAATTGCTTCATTTTCTACAAGCTCCTGAAGAGGAAGCAGTTTAGTATTTATACAAGATATAAACTCAATTTTAAGCAGCATGCAATGAAAATGGTTCACAGTGTCAAATGTCAAACTTGATATACTCTTGATAGTACATTGTGTATGGTTAATGATAAATGGAGTTTTTACAGTATGTACTATATAAATATACAAAAGGTGCTTATTATAACCTATAACCTATAATATACAACTATAAATACTATAAATATAATAGTATAACCTTCGGTTTTCGCCTGGGCGCATGTGCCACTGAGTCTGTTTGGATGATGTGCAGTTTATGTGTTTGGATTATTGCAGAGGCGGGGAAGTAAGGGATTGCCAGACGAAATGAGTTACCTACAGTTATTTTACACGAGTCAGGCAATCCCCGTTCCCGCTAAGTATATACAGTGCTTTTCTCTAAAATGCGAGGAAACAATGCATGTCAAGTAAAACGAGTTTACCATGACAAATGTTGCTTCTTGTTTTAAATTAGGTGGAGTACACTTCAGTTCACTACTGTATGTTTGCTCTTCTCACTAGAATTTTCACCAAGAAAACAAAAATTACAAAATAAAAAATATAAAAAGTATCAAAAAAGAACTTCAAAATATTTTTGAAAGTATGAGGTGCAGGTCTGTATACACATAATGAAACGCAAAATAAGTAATACCATAGATTTTTTTAATTCTCGCAATCACATGACATTGATGCCATTGAGCAGTTGACTAACAATTTTACTTTAATCTGTTTGCTTATAGTAGATATTTAAAAGTCTAGAGTAGCGGACAGTAACGGACTCCCATACTTATTTTGACTTAAAGGATGTGATGCTGATAATAGTGAAGTTGGCAGAAAATAGAAAAGTTTTATTAATCTCAAAGTTTTATTACGTGATGTGAAGATCCCTGAGAACTGGCAGCACAAGTTTGAGGTAAGCACGAGTAGAAAAACTTTGGCCTATTAGCTACCAAAGCGCCACGGGAAAAAGCTATATTTTAGAAGAAAGAGTCACATCTCTTCTCTGGTCGGCTTTAGCAGCTAATAGGCTTTATACCTTCTGCACTACTATAGAAGCTAAATAAAATGAGAAAGTTACCTGTGTAACATGTAGATGAAGTTGAAGAGACAGTTCAAGGACGCCATCATCAGATCAGCGAAGGAAAGGTTCACTAAGAAGTAGTTGGTTACAGTCCGCATTCGCCTGTGTGCTGTGAAAAAATAATTTATTTTAAAAAGATTTCTAAATAAGGGGTACAAATAGACGGGTTCTTGTTATGTGTGTGATTTATAAATTACTTTTTAAAGTAAAATAACAAGAACAAACCCGGTACCAATATGAATAAATTTCTAGTAAGTAGATGCCAAAAATAACATTTTAACACACTCCTCGCCGGGGTGGGTCACAATGTCCGCCACCTAATTCTAACTATTGGGGCCGTGGGGGGTCAAAATGACACACATACACACATTGCAGGTGACAAACGCTACGTATTTAGCCATACATCACGACATGTGAACGAACTTCTGTTGCCGCTTGGCTTTTAGTATTTTTGAAGGCATGCCTACTAATCTGGACTTCGAAGAAAAAAAGATTTCAAATAAAAAAATTCACATTAGTTTCAAATTTAAAATGTCAATCTAAAATTAAAACAGACGTATATCAGTTAACAGAAAAAACAGACGTATATCAGTTTTAGATAAATATTCGTCGAACACTACCTGTACGTAACCTGCCCGTAATTGTGACCGGTGTGAGCTAAACATTAACCTTATTTCGTTTAGGCTTTGCTGGGTTGAAATGCCTGGCACTAAAAAAAATCCCAAATTAAGGCCAACTAATGAAATATCTCGAAAATATATTATATAGGAATGAGAGCAAAAACAATAATACAAGCCAATATCAAATGCTAGCCGGTGACAAACGTGTTAATATTATTCCCACAGACCACATAAATACTAGTAAATTATTCCCGTAATATTTACATTATGGAGTGTGTATATTTTCGGATACTCTGAGTACGGGTTTTAATGCTAATCAAGAAAACAAATAAACGAAAATTTTCATTTCATTATCAAAACAATACCAAGTTAATAAACAATAAAAATAAACAATTCATGCGTAATTAGGAATGGAAATTGAATTAATACAACGATACAAGAGAGTTCCCAAACAATTACTATACATTTCGGCCTTACATATATTATATGCTTTATTTATTTTATAACTTTTCTTGTTTGTATGGCCATATACCAGGATGATTTATCCAAAGGGATCTCTACACCAGGGAACAAAATAAAGTGAAATATATTCACCCGCTATGGTGAATCCAATTACAATATCGCCACCAAAATTGTATTTTTCTTCGGGTAGTATCGATTAAATGAAATCGATTCCATTTCTACTAAGTAAATATTGCTAAGTTATACATTACATTATATATACATTACCTACTCATAAAGGTTAAGCAATATTTGCCAGCGCCTCAGACAACACCGCACCGTGTACATTTTAAAGGCGCGTGGACATATGTCATTTAGCATGTCAATAGCGATCATTCACCGGTTCTTACCATTGTATACGTTATTTGTGAAAACGATGATGCTCTATAATGATTAAAGTAACGTGCGAAATTATTATCGTTACTGTGTTGTGGTAAAAATCACCTGGACTGTAAACTTTGAAACGGTTTGATAGTAATTAAATTTAATGAAATATTTTGCCTTTATTTTTTCAATGAATATATGACAAAAAACAATATAAAAACTAAGGAAAATCGCCCCTTTTACAATCCGATCTGTGTCATCTTAATAAGTATAATATAGTAATATAATATAAGTCGTATTATTTCTGGCAAAATACACAAAGCAAATCAATATTAAAATTATAAAAGAACAAAACAACAACAAAATTGAAACCTGAATGTTTTTAAACTCGAGCGAATGCAAACGTGACACAGTATGTTTAGTAAATGTAAAACAAAATTACAATCAGTGACGAGCTTCTGGTGACAAAAGTGGGTAAAAAAACGGGAGAAGTTAAAATTTGGCCTTTTTGGAAAATACGTACGTACGAACGTATTTTTTTATGGAATTGATTGAAAATTGACACATTTTGTATTTTTAAATACAATTTATATGTATATATATATTTAAATATATATATAATTTATGAATAAAAATAAATAAATATTATGAAGAAACTAAATTATACTTGTTATACTATTACATATTTGTTAAAAAATAGTTTATGTGAGGTTGTATATTATTGTAATTCAATTCACATAATTATGTTGAGATGCAACGGAAGTTTTAAATAGTTGATATACTTCTTTGTTCTTCTGGGCACTTTACAATTGTGTACAAACTAACTTTATTTTTGTTATATTCTTATATTTAATACAGCCAATTATAATTATAAAGATATGATATTAACAACGGGTAAATTCACAAAGTAATATGATCCAATTTGCCATTTTATTACCGACTTCAAAAAAATTTCTTCTTCTTCTTCTTCAATTCGAACTTCGAAATACACTTAAATTTTTAACCGACTTCAAAAAAAGGAAATTCTCAATTCGACTGTATGTTGTTTTTTTTTTGGTATGTATGTTTTGCGATAACTCCGGTATTTGTAAACTGATTTCATCATGATTCTTTTTTTTTTGTTGGAAAGGGGGTGCTTTCATAGTGGTCCCATTTCATTTTGAAGAAAACCATCCTTATTTTCGAAGAAAGAAGATTCATTTTTATAAATAGCGCCTAAATTTTACTTAAGGAGCAATTATTTTAATGGTTGATTTTGCTATTTCTCCAATTCAAGGCGTTTTTCTCTCAATATACTTTGAGTAGTGAGAACCGATTTTTATTATCTCCAGTGTCAAGTCCTGTATAGTGGTGAAGTAGGGGATATTTCAATAAAACTTTGCAAATAGACATAATTCCACGTACTTTTGAGGTCGGTTTTTTTAGTACTTTATACTGAGATTATTTAAGTTATGTTATTGAGTTTTAAAATGTATCTCGACCGATGTTAAAATTGCCACAGATGTATTTATTGAGTATATTTATATTTAGCGATCGGCTGCTGGCGAATTGTGCTTTGGGATAAAATTTGGGTGAACGATCGCTATTGACGTGCTAAATGGCACAAAGTTATAGATATTATTTTGTGGTATGGAATGACACATTGTGTGGTGGCTTGCATTGAGAGAGGTAATGACGTTTTAACGTCTTATCTCGTTGACAGTAGTTTATTGAACCTTTCTTTATCGTAGCACCATCAGACAGTTCTATTGATGGTGCTAAGGTGTTTTTTTTTGCCATTGTCCCATTAATGGTATAGTGGAATTATTTTTTGCTTTCGTTCGAATAAAAATTCATGCAAATAATAAGGAAAATTAATCATTCGATAAACATGAAAGCGTTAGAAGAAGCGTTAGAAATTCACACCATATCAGCTCTTGATAATAAAAAAATTTGGTTAAATATATTATTTTCTTACTTTACAAAACAATAATAAGGTGTATTATTAGTCTTACTTAAAACTTATGAACTGTATTATTTGCATACGCTACGTATACCTTCGCATTTAAAATGTATTTTTTTTATAATAGTAACCTGTGACCTATCCGTTACGGCTGCAATGTCACTCAAAGCTTTAAATCACAAACATCAGAGGAGTACCGCCACCGAGCCCGTCACTCAGAGGCTTAAGTTGAAGAGTCCCATGTGCCAGTAATTTCATCAGCACCCTTAAGCCTTCGTTCACACGGCAACGTCCTGCACGTTTTTTTACGTATTCCATTATAAACGGATAGACAGCGGAGTGTTCACACGATATATTTTCATGCGTTTAAAAGGCGGATAGCCGCAGTATTCACACAGCAATCGCACTGACAACACGTATGTGATGGATCCACGCTTTGTTGCACTTTTATATTGGTGTAGAAGAACAGAAGGTATTGGGTTCACCCAATGAATCAAGAAGCAGTGCGTACAAGTACATTTGAATAATTGTACGAATATCTAAAAAAAGTTGAATAATTAATGGGCTTTTGTTCCAATAAAGATATCAATAAATCGTTTTCCACTGAAGATTCGCCGGTCATTTTGTATTAATAAAATTATGCGTGCTCTCCTTCCAAAAAAGACTCCTTATGTATAGACCTACATAAAAAGTATTTTCAAAATCGGTCCGCAATTGATGAAGACATCGATAAATGCACGGACATGCCTATGAAATTTGAGTATTTCTTTCGATTTCTATAGGATCTCCTCATCAGATTCTAACTTAGTGACAATGGGATCACCACGAGAGTGCACCCTTTCAAACAAAAAAAGAATTTTCAAAATCGGTTTACAAATAACGGAGTAATTTGAAAACATACATGAAATATACATACAGCCGAACGTATAACCTCCTCCTTTTTTAAAGTCGGTTAAAATGTACGCCTTCGCACCGTGTGAAAGACGCATTAAACTCAAATTCAAATTCAAAATAATCTTTATTTCATAGGTAAGCATTATTACACTTGAAATCGTCACATTGGTTAAACTCTACCGCTCATTCGTAAGGCAGATTCCCCTGAGAAGA